AGCGTGGTCCGTGGGCTAGTTGATAGTCTATTTTAGAGAACATTCCATATGCACAGGAGAAGAATATGTATTCTTATGGTGTTGTGGGCAACAGTCTGAAAACACCTACTAAGTCCATTTGTTCACAGGTTTGGTTCAGTTCTGATATATCTTGCTGATTTTTTGTCCAGTTGATCTATCTCTTTGTGACAATAGGGTATTGAGGCCTCCAATTATAATTGTGATACTGATTATTTTTATATCTATTAATAATTGTTTTATATAGTTGGGTGCTCCCATATTTGGTGCATATATATTTATGATTGTTATCTTTTTCCTCTCAAAGTTTTCCCTAACAAATATGTAGTGACCTTCTTTACATCTTATGATCATTCTTGGTTTGAAGTTCACATTGTTTAAAGCAGAATAACTACCCCTGATTTTTTCTGGGCTCCTGTTGCATGTAAGATTGTTTTCCATCTTTAATTTTCAGTTTATGAATTTATTTTTGTATTAAATGTGTTTCTTGTATACAGCACATTGTTGGATCTTGTTTTTTGATGCACTGTACAAGTCTGTTTCATTTAATTTGTGAATTGAGGCCATTTGCATTGATAATTATACCTGATGGTTTGGTGGTCATAAATCTTTTGAGTTGTACTTTGCCATGGAAATATCTTATTTCTCCATTAATTTTGAAAGATAGTTTTGCAAGGTACATCAATCTAGGCTGGTTGTTTTTGTTTTTCAGGATTTGAAATATTTCACTCCAAGATCTTCCTGACTGGAAGGTTTATGTTGAGAAGTCTGCCATGATTCTGATGGGCTTTCCTTTAGAGGTCATCTGTTCTATTTTTTCAGAGATTTTAATATTCTTTTTTGTGCTGGATTTCTGGAATTTTGATATGTCTTGGTGTAGTTTTATTTTGATCATCACTACTTGGAGTTCTATATGCCTCGTTTGTTTATACGCCATTTTTTATCCACGTTGGGGAAGTTTTCTGCCATTATTTCTGTGAAGAGTTTTTTTTGGCAATGTGCTATCTCAGGCTTTCTCACAGACCCCAAACAATCTTATGTTATTCTTTGCTTCATCCTGTAGTGGTTGGATTGACTTTTCATGATCTCTTGCTATTTTTAAGATATCTTTCTTTTCATGATCACTAACTTCAATTCTATCTTCCAGATCTGAAATTCTCTCCTCTCCTTCATTCAGTCTGTTGCATACTTTCAATAGAGTTTTTAATCTCTTGGATTTCTGTTTGGATTGTTTCATTTATTGTTGGGCAATTTTTGTTTCTATCATTTTTCTAAACTATTCTTTTATGGGTATCTTTTCTAATATCTTTTATTTTATGCATCATTTCTTTCTGCACCCGAGAGGTTATTTTTTCTATAGCCTTTTCCACTTGTTTTTTTTTTTTTTTTTTTTTTTTTTCTGTTGCTATCATTTTGGAAAGTTCCAGTATTTGACTTCCAGTTTTATCTTTCTCCTTCAATTCTGGGTTTGTTCTGGATGGGCTGGAGGTCTGAGGTTTCATTTTGCTTCTGTGTCTTATGATTTTCTATTTTCTCTGTTTTATTTTATACTGTTTTCTATGTTGATACTTGCCAATTCCTTATCATATATAGTTTTGTCACTTGTATTGAGGTTTTCCTAGAAGACATCTGTTCTTCAGGGATGTCTTCTATATGTAGGTGATTTCTTATAGCTATCCCAAGGCCCTACCTTCTCAATTTGCACAGGCTACAAAATTTCTCTTTGGCTCAGCTCCTAATCATTTGTTACTGGGCTGTGGTGATGATTATGATCTCATACAATCATTGTGTTGTCTTACAGGAGAGAAAAACTATTTATGATATATATGACATCCTGGCTAAACTAGTACAGTCAGTAATAACAATAGTTTCAAAAAAACAATAGTTTCAATTACATCTATATAAGGATATAAACTATGATAATTATTAACCTGCTACCTCTGACCACTGGAGCAAATCTTAAAATTATATAACAAAATCAAACATACACTGTGCACTTCTATGCAGTGATTTTTTTCCCTTAGTGCAGTGATTTTACCTTTCTTCACTGGGTGAGGGGGTTAAGATGGGCAAGGAATAGGCTAAAGTAATATGTGAGGTCAAATATAGTAGAATCAAGACTGGAGATTAAAGGATGATCACCTGAATTTTAAGAAACTGAAGGACACAGGAGGGAAAAAATGAAATAGAATCTGAAGGAATAGTCAGAAAAGGTTTAATGTTTAATCACTTGAAAGTTCAAGTTCAAGAAGTAGTTGAGGAAAGAGAAAAAGAAGATCTATAGAATAAAATGAAAAGGAAAGGTGAGAACCCTAAACACTGAAAAAAGACGGAAGACGTGAAAGGTATGAAAAAGAAAGAAAGAAAAATGAGAGTAGAAAGAGAGAGGAGAGAGAAAAATAAGAAAACATCCAAATAAAAAACAGCTACAGAGGGGCTGGGGAGATGGCTCAGTGGAATAAGCACTTCCCTGGCAAGTGCAAGGGCCTGAGTTCAATCCCCTATTCCAAAAAAAAAAAAAAAAAAAATGGCTCAGTGGAATAAGCACTTCCCTGGCAAGTGCAAGGGCCTGAGTTCAATCCCCTAAAAAAAAAAAAAAAAAACCAGCTACAGAATACAAATCAAAACAAGCTGATATCCAACCAGACAAGAAATGGCTAGCCCATTATACAAACAAGGGAGAATGAAAGTAGTAAAAATAATTTTGGCATTTACAGTTCTGTGATAGTGTTCATATTTAATCCCAGAAACGTGCTTGGTATGGAGCTGATCTTGGCCTCGTTGTTTGGGAGCTGAGATTGGTCTTCTGTTGGTGGAGCTTTCCAGAGTTCAACTGCTGGCTCCTCACTGTTGCTTCAGACACTGTCACATTGCTGGTCTCATTAGTTATTCTACCCTCCACATGTGTGGACCTGTGTGGCTGGGGTCCAGCTGTTGTCCTGGGCCTCAAGTCTTGGGCTTCCAGTCAGTCCACTCACCAAAGGGGTACATCCTTAAACCTCTCTCACAGGCCCTGCTGTCCTGGAAACAATGGAAGAAATGCGAGCTCAGATTCACTCTCCTCTGAAAGACCCTGCTATGCCAGAGATAATCCTTGGCTTCATTTTGATGTTAATCTCTTTACAAACATGTTCTCCTTTGTCCCAACTTTGTAGGTGCTTCCTTATTGACAAAACTCTTAATATTTCAAATGGGATACTTGCTCGTAGTGCTCATTGCAAACCTGGGTAAAATCAGACAGAAGTACTTGTTCTACTATCTGAACATGGGACTGCTTTAAAATTTCACCCATCAGATTAATTAGTCCACTATCTTTAATCTTAGTCTCTCACAAAGTCATCACATGGACAAAATGCATACACATTTTGTGCCACAGCATAGCACATGTGGCCTCTTGTCTAACTGCCGATGACATCCTTGCACCCAACTAAACTCCCCAATCCTGGCCTTCGACAGCTGCATTTCTATAAGCATTTTTTCCTGTTCATCTCACTCTGCTTATACATTCTGTGGCTTCTCTAGCCAGGATCTCTACACATTTCCAAACTCTTCCAACAAGCCAAGTCCTAACATAGTCAGGCATAGTTGTAACAGTTACCCCACTCCTGGTACCAAAATCTATCTTAGTTACTTTCCTCATCACTGACATACAATATCCAAACCCTACACCTTAAAAGAGGAGCTTATTTTGACTCATGGCCTTCAGAGGATTCAGTCCCTCATCAGCTGGCGCCAAGGCAGCAAGAACATAGCACAGAATCATGGTGTACAAAAAGCTGTTCATGTCACAGCATCCAACAGATAGAGAGAGAAGGGAGGAGCCAGTGTGTAACTATACACTGCCAGGTCATGACCTCAGCGACTCTTCTCTCCTGACCAGGACCCACCTCCTGATAGCACACTCAGTTGCTGAATTCATTAATGAATGAACCTATTGGTAAATACAGCAACCCTGTGCTCTAATCACCTTCTGAAATCTCTACCTCTGACCATACAAGAGTTTTCAGAACATTCTAGATCTCAACTGCAACAGATGATATACAAACTATTTTAGTTTCCAATAACATGTCACTCAAGGTTGCAAATATCATGAGGAACATAAGGACCATGTAAACAGAATAAACCTCCTCTTTTAAGTGCAATCTTGTGTCCAGAAAGCTCTCCACTGCATCTTAATTTACTCATATTTGTCACCTCCTGCCTTTCCTACCTTAGAGTTGCTAGTAGAAGGACCCACAGTCTCTCCAGTTCAAAAGTGATATACATGGGGCTGGTGAGATGGCTCAGTGGTCTAAAGCACCTACTTAGAACAAGCTAAGCAAAGCACGGGACCGCGGTTCAATCCCCCAGCACCACATGCCAGCCAGCCCCGCCCCCCGGTGGGCTGAGCTGGCCACACACAGACACAAAATAAATAAATAAATAAATAAATAAATAAGTAAAAATAGAAAATATATCTTAAAAAAAAAAGTGATGTACAGGACTAAAATGTGGGTGAAATCAGGAGTGTAGGCCTAAAGCCTCAATACACCAGGGTATAAGTCTTGGCCCTACCACTTATCATCTGTGTGAGATAAGAGAATTTATATAATCATCCATCAGATTAATTAGTCCACTATCTTTAATCTTAGTTTTAACCTCATCATCCATCACTCAAATTTGAGGGGAAATAGGCACAGTAGAACTGTACATAAGAGACACGCAGCTATATGAGACATAAGAGACAAGTTAGCTGTACGTAAGCCTCATGTAAATGCCAGATCTGCTTCTAACTTGTTTCACTTTTTAAAAATCGTATGTCACAAAAGACTTCACCTGAAACAAAAGTGCCTCCAAAAGATTACTATTCCCTACCTATGTATGCTATTCAAAGGAAAATGGATCATTGTTTTAATTATACCTTCTCTTCGTTGCCCACTACTACTTCATTGTCATAGTGATTATTTTAGAAACAATGGCATAACTTTCCTTCCTCTTTTTAGCTCTTCACTTCTGTTTTTGGAGTGGGGTTGAAGACATCTGAGAAGTGGTTTCGGATGGGGTTCAGATCTCTGAGTGAAATAAAATCAGACAAAAGTCTGAAATTCACACGGATGCAGAAAGCAGGTAATGAATGGCCTCTCGTAAGCACTGACTGCTCTGTGTTGGTCAGGGTTTGCACAGATAGCAACTGGTAGCACTCTGATCCCAGTCTTGGTGATCTGACACACCTTGGGTGTATCTACTGGTGCTTAAGTCTTGGTGATCTGACACACCTTGGGTGTACCTACTGGTGCTTAAGTCTTGGTGATCTGACACACCTTGGGTGTATCTATTGGTGCTTAAGTCTTGGTGATCTGACACACCTTGGGTGTATCTACTGGTGCTTAAGTCTTGGTGATTTGACACACCTTGGGTGTATCTACTGGTGCTTAAGTCTTGGTGATCTGACACACCTTGGGTGCATCTACTGATGCTTCAGTTCACTCTTAGCTCTAGCACTGTCCAGCCACATGATCTTGAGCATGTTAGTTAAAACCTTTGAGTCTTAGTTACTTAATTAGTAAAACAACTAAAATTGATACTTAATTGGGAAATAAATCAGATAACATATACAAAGCCCCAAGTCCTATGCCTGGCACAGAGCAAAGACACTCTTCTTGGTGGCTGCTGTGATTTCCTGACCCACGTACCAAGCTAGGATACATGTTGACCTGGTTGTGGGAACTCTTGTAGACCCAGGGCTGACTCCCTGGGCAAGAGATGAGAGTGAGGAGTCAAGGACAGAAGAACAAGCTGACGTGGAAGACTGAGGAGAAAGGAATTGAAAGAACCAGAGGGGCTGGGGAGATGGCTCAGTAGAATAAGCGCTTGCCTGGTGAGCACAGGGGCCTGAGTTCAATCCCCGGTTCCGAAAAAAAAAAAAAATCTAAAAAAAAAAAAAAGAAAGAACTACAGTTATTGCCAACTAGTTCACAACTATGAATAAGCTTTTGAAAACAAAGCACTAGGACAACAGTGGGAAAATGGTAGAAATATAGACATGGGCTTTATGTATGAGAAGGCAATATGGAAGGATGAGCTTTACCACCGTCTGAAAACCTAGAAGGACTTCCCAAAGATCCAGGTGGCTTGGTTACTACCATTTATGGAGGGTCCCAGCAAATTTTTCAAAATTTAAAATATTTCCAAGAGAGATCCAAATAAATGTATGGGCTTTAAGTGTTCACTTCAAACATGCAGTAGGAATACGAATATACTTGTGATTTGGAAGGGGCTCACAGCTGTAGTCCTCAGCATATGGATTGTGAAAGGCTGATGAAGATATCAAAATTTCTAATGATATGAAAGTAAGGGACTCTTCTACCAGAGGAGACGAGGGAAGAAAAACTGGACATCTCTCTCCTGTAAGTAATGACAACAGACAAACAATAAAACTACGAGCCACGATGAAGGAAGGAACCAAGTATTGGTGGGTCTTATCAATGACACTGACCCCTAATCTTTTGTAAATTTTATCATTTTTAATTCTCTCTCTCTCCCTCCCTCCCTCCTCTTCTCCCTCTCCCCCTCTCCCTCTCTCCTTCTCTCTCTTCCTGTCTCTGTCTCTTGTGTGTGGTGTGTGTGTCTGTGTCTGTGTGTGTGTGTGTTCACACATGTGTGGCTAGAGATCAAACCAGGGCCTTGCACATACTAGGTGAGTGCTGTACCACAGAGTATTCTGGGTTTCAGAGAGTACATACTTAATGTGAATGATTATTGTACCACTCTAGAAATGTTATTTTAAAAGTTACGTATTAAACATACATAGCAAGTAAATAGTTTGGAATGATACTAAGAACTCTCAACACTTAGAAACTGAGAGATCTGAGTTCAATCCTCTGTTCTGCCAAA